GGGGGGGTGGGGGGGATCACAGGGAACAGAACATTAAAATTCAAAAGCCCTGTGTCAGAAAGGAGGGCAGGAAGCCCAAACACGCAAACAAGTGTGGCAGATAGTTTCCCAAGCAAGGGAGTGAGTGATGCAGGCTGCTGGGGGATGTGGAGCATGGAGGGGACGAAGCTAACGAGGCAGGAAGAAGCCAGTTCCCTCAGAGCTTTCGTCTTCATTATAAGAGAAGCGGGTTCCTCTATACTAAAGATATTTGAACAAGGGTGGCACAATCAAACGTGCAGCCTGAAAGAATCACTGCAACTGGAGAAGAGCAGATTGGAAGGCAACCAGAACAGGTATGAAAAGCCTGGCTGAGAGGTTACTGCCATGACCCAGTTGAAGGATAATAGTAGCTCTGACCAGCAGTAGCGAGGTGAAGGGATATAAATTCAGTTGAGAGACATTTAGGAGAGTGGGAACAAAACAAGGGAGGGCAAAACGTCAAATACTGCGGTCAAAGATGTCACCAAAGAACAGAAAGAAGAAGGAAACAGCAATAGCTCAAGGTTTAGAGAGAGGATTAATGAGTTAATCAGACATTTACTGAGCACCTACTATGATCCAAACACAATGCTATGTTCTGGAGTGCATCAACGCAATGAAATGCTGTAGAATGCCATGTTGGGCATCACCACAGGATGGAGTGGGACCCAAAAGAGAAAAGGAGAAGTGGGTGTCAAGGAGGGAGGAGGGAGAAAAGGAGGGAGAGAGGGTGTCAAGAAAAGCATCATGGAGATGTGTGAATTGCATCTTGCAAGATGAGTCACCTTTTCTAGGAGGAAGCTATTCGATGCAGAGGAACAGCATGAGCACAGGCACACCCGTCATCTTCAGAGAAATGCAAGTATTTCGTCATTACTGGTGCTGTAGGGTATGAGGGCGGGGTGGGGTGGGGATGGGGATGGTAGAGGAAAGAAAGGCTGGAGGGAAGAGCAAGACTATGTGATGGAGGACCCTAGAGGCAACGGAGAGACTGCTGAAGTAGCATGATCACATTTGGGCTCAGGCAACAGAGAGTAGGAGCAACTGGTGAGGGGCCAGGCACTGGGTGCTTTAGTGTTGCAGAGTTCCAGAGGAGAAACGGAGATGATCCGATCAGAGGCCAAGGCCATGGTAAGAGGAGGTAGGGCAGATGAGTGATGAATATATTCATTTATTAGTTGAGAGGAAGATAAGGAAGACAGAGGGCTCGGGATAACTCCCAGTGTTCTGCACTGTCTCACAGAATATGGAAGAAGGGGGTGTAGGATTGGGCGTAAATAACGAGTTTGCTTTTGGACAGTGAGTTCAGGATGCCTGTGGAACATTCAGGTAGAGATGTGGAGAAGGTAGTTGGATGCACAGGTCCGGGGCTCATGAAAGAGATCTCGATTTGTGTGGTAGACAGTACTAGTGCTCAGCCACAACCAGATGTCCTCTCCTTTTGTCTCAGAGCCTCGCTGGTGGCTGGGTAGCGCCATGTGATGAGTTCTGGCTGCTGGACTATGAATAAAAGTGATGCCCCTTTTAGTTGTCACTTAATTGCTGAAGAAAGACCTCCTCTGACCCCATCCCCTCAGGGTGAGCATAAACCTACGTGATCTGGACAACCTACCTCTCCAGCAGTCTCCTGCCTCTCTCCTTCCCTTTCTGTGCTCCAGGACTGTTTTTCAAGGTGCCACGCTTTCTCATCTCAGGGTCTTTGCACAATGGTTCTGTCTTAACATCTCCCTTCCTTCAGATATTAAACATAGTTTGTTCCAGAAGGCATTTCATGATCTCCTATACTAGAATAAGTTCATTTGCATGTGCCCCCATCACACCCCAGTGAGTATTAGGAACAGTGTCTAACGTTGTTCAATGTCTAGATTGCTAGACTGTAAGCTTGATGGGCAAAAAATTACAGTCCTACTAATCCTAGTTTTGAGCAGTGCCTGACACATAGTGTGCTTTTCCTAAGTGACTATCAAATGAGTTTCCTGTTTCCCACTGAAAAGCTTCATTCTTTCAAGGCCCATCCTTACCTTGCTGGTTTCAGAGGGAAGTCTCCCTCCTGCTGAAGGCTAATTCCTCCACGTGTCACCTGAGTGTCACTTCCCACCTCGGGACTTGACTACTTCTATCATCCCTGCTATCTTTCGCCCTCTTCCTTCTATGGCTTTTCCTTCACAGCTATTATTTGTTCCAGCCTGTCTCATCTTCAAACATTCCTCTGAGCCCACCTGTGGCTCCCTCTAGTTACCATCTACTGGGGTGAGTAGTGTTCTGGAAATTAACCTACATAGGTCTATTTCCTCACTGCCTTTCAATCCCTTACCACCACTGTAATCTATCTCCTGTCCCTGCCATTCAACCAAAGTGACTCTAAGGAGGGCCCCCAAAGACTCCAAGCTATTAACTCTATGGGTACTTTCAATCCTCTTAGTCTCCCTGAAAAATTGGCTCTTCTTACATGAAACTCTCTAGTCTGTTGACTTCACAGCTCCACTTTCTCCTGGTTTTCCTCCTATGACTGGCCATTTTCGCTTTTGCAGAATTTGCTTTCTCTGACACTGCTCTGACGTGTTCTTTCCTGAAACACCCCTATATTCCAAATCACAGGGAACAGTTCTCCCCTTTTCTTCTCTCTCAAACAAGACTGTGACTCATCTTAATACATCCCTTCTTCCAGATTCTCCCTACTCAAGTCCTACTAATGTTGCCTTGAGTATTTCTCACCAATTCCTTCCTTTCTATCCACACTGCCAAGGCCTTTAGTCAAGGTCTCCAATGTCCTTTAGTTAGAATGAGCCAACATTCTCTCCAAACTGCCCTCTAGTTGCTAGTGATTGCTCTGAAACAAGAATCTGCTCATCACTCCTCTGCTTCAGACCTTTCCATTGGCGTCCCTGTCCTCAGAACAAAATCTAACTTCTAAGCATAGCATTTAGGAACCCTAATGTAAATTCTTACTATTTGTTTCACTCTTAACTTCTTGAGTTTAAAAAATGTTACTCTTCTAGAGTGGCTTCTCTATGATCACAGATGCTGCTCCACCTTCCTGGACTCCAATCCCAACACTTTTGGCTGACTTCTTTTTCTTAATGTTTTCTCTCTTTAAAAAAAATAAATAAATAAAATCTTTATTGATTTCAGGAAGAGGAAGGGAGAGGGAGAGAGATAGAAACATCAATGATGAGAGAGTTATTGATCGCCTGCCTCCTGCATGTCCCCTACTGGGGAACAAGCTGGCAACCCAGGCATGTGCCCTGACCAGGAATCGAACTGTGATCTTCTGGATCCTAGGTCGACGCTCAACTGCTGAGCCACGCCAGCCAGGCTGACTTCCTCTTTCAAATGCCAACTCAGACATCTTTTCTGACCTGTTGTTTTTCTGCTCTCTCCATGTTTTATTGGGTGCTTTCATTGCCTTCTTGGGACTAGAATTTTTGCTTTAAGTATTACTCATCCAGGTAAACATTTGATAGGATAGTTGTGGTGGGTCATAACACGTCAAATTGCTTAGGCTGAACTACTTTCCAGAATTCTTTCTTGAACATTCTAGCAAGAGTGAGCCACAGAGATTAGAGGGTGGGTGTGAGGCAGTGACATGTCGTCATCTGTTGGCTCACTCAGTTGTGCTGGGCCTGCAACTTCCCAACCTTTCCCTGGATCAGCCTCCAGCTTCTCTAACCTTTGGACCATGTACGTGTGATAAAGGACCTGGGGTTTTGTAGGACAATCTTATCAAGGTCAGAGGGAATAAAACTGACAATTTCGGTCGTGTGTGCTTATGATTTCCGTTCATTCCTACCCTCTCTCAATTTATATTCATCTTCCCTTCTTAACTGCCTGTTCCGTGAAGTCAAATCCCTTTATATAAACATACATCCTAGTAGATGGTTCTCTGACATTGTATCACACATTCTTGTTGCCTTTCTACTAAATTTTAAACTCTTTGAGGTAGGGACTGACTTTTATGTCTGTATGACAAGCGCAGGATGGTGCTTAGCATGAACTAGGTGTTTGTAACTGTTAAATGAATAATTTAGAACACCCCTGTTGACCATATCAAAATCTCTTTTAAGTAACAATAAAGATGTCCCTCTGAGTTCTATAGCAGATGGATATATTAGCCATCAATAAATATTGACCTAAATGATGTTACATAAATTAAAATCCTAGGAAGTCAAGAAAATAGCAATTACCCATATGATAAATATTTTCAAATATTTCCTATTATGTAAGTTGTCCACTTGTGTACAAGTAAATCTTTATGTAAGCATGGAAGAACTAAATGCAGACAAATCTACAGAAGGGCAGAACTTCCTGATTTATCTGCTGGATTCTTAAGAGTGACTTTACAATACAC